TTAAATAATATTATGTAGGATGTAAGTAATACACTATATAATAATATTCAATCAAAAAAGAATAATACGTATCAGAGGTGAAAATTCTCTAGGCATACTCAGTATGCTTAAAATACAAACATAATTAGTATACCTAAACACAAAAATTATTTTTCCATCAATAAAATATACCACATATTTAAAAACATCATAATGTATGACAAAAATATATCTAACCGGATGAAATGATTATTATCTGTTATACTTGTCTATGTTTATTTTGATCGTAACATTTATTAACATAGCATGCGATAGCTTTGTGCGCAAGCTATGCAACGCTTGTTAATCGTTATTGCTGTGAAATATTATTTATTTCGAATCTCGTTCCACCTTAAGCCGCGGTTCTAACCGCCCAAGCATGCTCAATGTGTAGCGCTTCGCCAATGATTTATATAATATAATTTACGTGTACGAGTGTGTGACAATTGTATTATTTTTTATTAATTTATAAATAAATACAAATTGTTATTTTGTTTATCAATTATAAGTTAAATAGAACTAAAAATTATAATGCATTATGATAAATGAGCATGCCCATACTCCAGACAGCATTCGCCACTCATACCTATTGTCCTATTATAATATTTTTATAGCATAGCTCGACACTGAGTTAATACTTTCATACGAAGTTTCATATCTTTTCTTGTTTATCTGAATTCGTTGAAAATTGTAAAAAATATACCATGACAACGGCTGATTTCCTTCGTAGACCGTACTATATACTATATGGTTTTGGTGGGGCAGCGAGCTTGGATCAACACAATGATATCGAAAATAAAACGAAATTAATATCTCTATTTTTAGAAAAGTAATATTTTGAAGCTATTAAATTGTTGTAATAGTTGATATTTCCACATCGACACTCGACAAGCGGCCTCTGCACTCTGCAGTTTAGCATTATGGCCTACGCTTTTAACCTGCACGTTTTTATTGTTGACTGTTCCTATAATACATATAGGATATACTTTTTTGAATGGTAAAGTTTTATGTTTTATTTTTATATATTATATTTTATAAATAATTAATATACATGGGCGGATCCATGGGGGGGGGGCACTGGTGGCAAGGCCACCCCTGTTAGAAAAAAATAATATTAAAAAAAATTTGTTGGGGGAAGCTATATCCAATATTATATAATTCTTCYTATAAAGTACCCCGATCCTAAATATATGCTGGATCTGCCCTTGAATTAATATAAATTAATATTGTTACATTGAAGTAGTATAGATGTACCATTCCTGGCACAGTCCTTAAATCCATCAGTAAAAGATCACAAAGAAAACAATGTGCAAA